TGTTTGGAGCAATTGAAACTTGATGGTTATTTGGCTGTTGGTGGTTCACGTCAACATATTTTGAACAGTCAATCATATTCGCCGTCGGAAATCTTTTGTTTCGATAGAGAAGAGAACATTGCAACTTATCAGCCGGCACTTTTAACACGGAAGAGATTCCAACTGAAGGAAAGAATCGACGATATCATCCAAAATGCATTCGAAGGTGGATTATTTATAAAATGGAACCGTGATAGTCAACGGAAGAAAAAACCAGTTTTACCTTACAAACCACCACCATTCATAACTTTGAAAGAATATGCGGTGGGTTTTGTTTTTGTGATTGGCATGCAAGACAATTTAGATGGGATGATAACCGAATGCAGGCTGCCCTAAAGTATCATTTCGATCAGCTCCATCATGCAAATAAGTGAATAAAGAGAAGAAGAAAGAATGATGTGTGTATGTGGCCAAGTTTAAGATATTTGCATACCGCATTGAAATCGGTGCCTGCTGTAAGCAGTGTGTGTTCGTGACGTGGCAACAGCGATACCGTGAACCATCAATACACATGCATGAAAGCTTCGTAATACACGGTATCGCTATTGCCGCATAATAAACACACACTGCTTACGGCAGGCACCGATTTCAATGCGGTATGCAATGCGTCAAATGTCATAAACTTAGACACAGCATAGCTATCGCGCTAGAAATAGCAGTGCCTACTGAAATCATTCAAAACACACAGCCTGGACAATACCAAGTTGGCATTTAATCCGTTTGAGGTTAGAGAGAGAAGAATCACACAGATTGAAGAAGATTCAAAGTTGAAGCAAAGCTTCAATGAGATTCTTGATTTCAGATTTTAAATGATTTACAGAGATTCATAAAAATCCAAAATGCTTTATTTCTGTTCAATTTTTATTGAAAATTTTGAGTAAATACAGACAAATTGGTACGTGATTAGAACAAGCAAAATGGTTTGTGGTACATAAATATACCGTAGACCAGAAAAACCAAACAGAAATAACACCAAAACAGTAGGTAGTTCAAACATGTGCCTAAATACACACACAAATGACAACTAACCTCAATATGAACAAAAATTGACATATAAAACTCAATTTATCCGAAGTCTCAACTGTTTTTAGTATAAATTTTGGTTCAGATTTTCTCCGGTCAAATATTTAAGTGCTTTCTTATATCACTTTGGCATTTGAGCGGAAAAAATGCATACTAAAATTTATCTCAAAAACAGTTGATACTTCGGATAAATTGAGTTTTATGTCAATTTTTGTTCATATTGAGGTTAGTTGTCATTTGTGTACAGTACAGTAAATGCTAGTGCTATGAAATAATTAGATACATTCCTCCCCATCCGTTGATTAAAATTGTTATCCAAATGAAGAGCATAGATAACGAATTATAAAATCCCTGAACCCCTTCAACGAATAGACTGAATATTTTATCCTTGAATAATGTACTACAAAATATAATCCATCCTCTCCTATGAGTTCACAGTGCATTCACTCTATGATTATGCCACATTCAGAAAAGAACCTTGTGCACGGAGTGAGACGTCTATATAACTCAAATGTGGTTTTCAATGCGAGTGAGAGAGGCAAACACAAAAAAGGCTCACTTTTTATACAAACCTCTTTAATTTCTTCTATTAAATGAGAACTTCTCTGGTAAATCTTTTAAGCAATGTCTGTTTCCATCAAAAAAGCGTTCAAAATATCTCCAAATGCGAGACTGTGGATTTCGTTTTATCATTCGACTGATGATAAACTCACAGAATAGTGTCACAACGCATATAAGTAGGCCGATGCCCATAAAAAAGAAAAACATAAAAGAATACTCTTCTAGTTTGACTTGTGGATGTAGTTTAAATGGAACGAGGCGTTCTCTTTTCCACTGACTGTCACGATCCCATTTCTCAAACAATCCCGCTTCAAATGTATATCGAATGATTTTTTCAATTTTCTTCTTCAATTTGAAGTCTTCTCGCATCAATAACACCGGCTGATAAGTTGCAATGTTCTCTTCTCTATCGAAACAGAAGATTTTCGACGGCGAAAATAATCGACTGTTCAAAATATGTTGATGCGAGCCACCGATAGCCAAATCCCAATTATCATCACGCTTCAAATGCTCTAAACAATAACCAATTGTTGGACAAACAAGAAATGAGTCGATTTGGGATTTGTAATACTAAAACGGAAATATTATACTTAAACTACTATCATTGTAATGATGTCACGCAAACTTACCCGGTCATCGAATGCAATTAAATTAGAAACTTCGGCAGAACCAGCCAAACGAAAATCCTCGTCTATGATTTCGGTTACAGTTGAAATTTGATGACGTTGAATAGGCTCCCTTATAAATCGAACGCCATAATGGAAGACAATATTCCAGTGAAATAAGCTCATGATCAATATAAATCCATAAAATATCCGTAACGGGAGGTATTTTGGATAAAATCTTTGATTAACACCAATGACAGCTGGTAAGGCAATGAGCCAAGTTGTATAGTGCCAATCGAGTTGATTTCGTTTTTCATATTTCAAATCGAATTGAATGAAAATGTATAAAATTAACCCTGTTACATAGCCAATGCCAAATATCAATATTAACCAGCATTCTGGTGATATTGCCTGAGATACGCTTATGAACAATGGAAAATATTTAGCTTTTTGTGTGCACCATATTAGTTCGTCACGATAGTAAGGTACAGAAATTATGGATGTCGTTGGATGCAGATTGGTCAAATTGGGGAATATTCCACCAATTAAAATGTCAGATTTGCTGAATTGAAACGATGCGATTAGAAATTCATGTCAAAATTCATATGATAAAAAAATTACTTCTCAAGCAGTCGATTGAAGCCAGTAGTAATCAAATTGTCATGGAAATACACTTTCAACTCCATATCTTCCTTCTCCGCAATGGTTTCGATTAGTTTGAAATCGATTCCTTTGTAGAATTGATCGCGGTACATGAATGGTTCAAAGTATCGGGTGGTCACTCGTAAGATCCGTCCTTCACCTTCCTGTGCAGGATGGATCTTGAGTCCATGTGATGGTACGAGGAAGATCCAAATGATATACAAGAGTAAAATGTTTACTCGAAGTATTTGAACCATTTTTACGGTCAAAATGATTGAGATAGAAGTTTTGGACTTCGCCGTTGATGTGCTTAACAAAAACTGAATAAATTTTCAGGAATTCTAAGGATTTTATACATTGATATTTAGTTGCTTTTACAAAGATAACGAATTTTCGATCAGATAACAAGACAATTTCAGAATGGAAAAAATACAAAAATGTGCTGGGTGGCCACAAGAGACCAACTTATCTGTGGAGTAATGACACTTATATTGAACACGAATGGAAAACTTGATGAAAATTATAATTCGGCTATCTCCCAATTATTATTCGTTCATCGAGCCGAAAAACGGACACAATTAACCATTTGGACATTTTTTATCATATCTGAAGCTTTTCCTATGCCATCATTTGAAGCATGGGAAAGAAAATCTCAAAGGTGATTAAAAATCGAGTGTATTTGAACGCGACTCGATTTAAGAAGCGCCATCTCTATCTCGCCAGATGCTCATATATTACTTTTCCGCACACCCACTGTGTGCAGTAAAGTATTGCAATCACCCCAATTTTGAAATCGTTAAAAATCGTTTTTCTATGCGTTTAGAGTATAGAAAAATACAGAGCAACGGTTTTTTGGCCATGTTAATGTGGGGATGTGGTACACTGTACACTTTCCGAACCTTACACTCTCCCTGTGGGCCAAATACACATCCAAATAAAACTAGTTTAATGAAAATTTCGAAATGTCGACCAATTTATTTCAAAAATGTGTTACCCTTTTTGGGCATTAAAAAGAATTTCATTTGGCCGACGATTTTGCGCTTTTGGATTCTAAGAATGCAACCATTTGTTTAACTTTGTTTGATTTTTTGGGCACTGATTCTGGTGCTGGTTCAGCTGCTGGTGTTCCAATCGAATCAATTCGGATTTTTCGGCTGGGATTATCGAATTTCGTTAAAGGTGATGGAACTAAAGAACGCAATCCTTCATCCTAAATACAAATTTTGAAATTATAATAAATATTTTCAGTTTTTTTTTT